ACCTCTTGATTGGCCTCTCTTTCTGTCCCCTGCTCCCGCCTCTCACTCCTCCTCCCTCCCAACCTTTGTTCTCCCGCTACTTTACCTTTGCCTACTGCCCTGTCTCTCTCACACCTGAAGAAGGCTCCACGGCCGAAACGTTGTGTTCTCTTTCTCCTTTTTTTCAGCATGGAATAAACCTAAAACTTGTTCCTTTGCAGCCTACGCATGCTGACGCAGCTACTCACCTGAACTGCTTTAAATCATATTGTGTCACGGGAAGCCAAAGCCTTCCTGGCAAGCTACAAGCTCCATTGGCAGTAGTTACAAGTCTTTTTTTATGTCTCTCAACATATGTTCACACTGTGATCATTCAAGAACATTTATTTACTTCTTGTTAATCCAGTTTAGCTTTAGCCTTGCGTTTTAGTTCATTGCTCTGCTGAAAAGTGAACTTTCCTTCCAATATCTTGCCCCATCCATTTTCCTCTCCAGTTTGACCTGGTGATGCATTGTATACCAAAAACAAATACATGAAATTTGAATTGGAAATTTTCAACAAAACTTTTCTAATTGTATCATGGCTTCTCACAAAAGCATTTGCCACATGTTTGTAGAACCACTTAAATGCTTTAAACTCCCAGATGGATCTGAGATGGGTTTGCCTGTCTGCCATACATGCCAGCTTTGTATAGTGACTGGGATATTGTTGTCTCATGAATATTTTCTCCCATCTCAGAGCCTGACCTCTGTAGCTTTTTGTCACAGTTAACCTGAAAATACATCCTCATCCAGTTTTCTGTTTAGAATGAAGCGCAAGATCTAGGAATATTTTTGCACTGTATACCACTGATAAAGAATCCTGATGTATTTTAAAGATAATTATATATCACATGAATTGGAGAGGAAGCTGGCAGCATTGCAAAAGAATGGGAAAGACATGAGTAAAGGTTACAAAAACTGATGCCAGCAGTACCTAAGAGATGCCAAGATGTGATTCAGTGAAAGGTACTGTAACCTTAGAATTCATTCCCAGTTCAGTTAACATTTATTTAGCCATGTGGAGGACAGATGAGCAAGTCACTTTTTAATTGCTTTTTGCAAACGAAATCTTTAGCACATATTTTTCTTGATGCCATTCCAAACTATTTTAATGAGGTGTTGTTACGTCCCAGTGTGTGTTCTGTGTGTGTTTTTTCTGTTATGTCCACACTGCTGACCCTTGATTGTTCTCCCTTCCCCATTGGCCAACCATCACACCACTGTTTCAATATGATGTCATCATCAATCAGCCCTCAGCCAATCAGAACACATCTTATTCAGCATATAACATGGAGGTTTTCAGCAAGGAGAGGCCTTTCAGTTGACTTCGGTCCCATTTGGTTTTGGTTATCGCGTCGCGTTGCTTCTGGTTATTGCTTCGGCTTCGTTTGTTGGTTTGTTTTGCTTTGTATGTGTGTGTATTTTCGTATAGCTTCGGCTTTGTTGTTTTGTTGGTTTTTTGTTAGTTTCTTTGTACTTCCGTTTGTTTGTGTGTTCATCCTTGTTTTGTTACATTACCTTGCTCCAGTGTTACATGTTCAACTTTTGTGTTCTTTTGTACCCTGCTCCTGTTTATTACTCTTGTTTTCCCTTATTTGTATTCCTGGTTCACTTGTGTTTTTGTGTGAACTTTTATATATAAGGTCAGTTTAGGTTGTTGGGTACACTTTACACACTTACTGTAGTTGATTTTGTATTAGTACACTAGGTTAGTACGGGTGAGTGCCATTTGTCTTGTATGGTTTTGGGTAGTCAGTGCAGATTAGATAGGGTTTCGAAGATGCT